GCATGCCAGGCGAGCGCGCTACCGCTTGAGCCACATCCCCAGCTCTAATTAGATTCTTAATCATACATTCTTAAAGAGTTTATGGTTAGGAGGAATTTATCTTTATCTCCCTGAGAAAAGGGTCACAAAGCCCTCCCCCTTCAGGGTAACTTGGGTTCCTCTTATCAACATTATTTTGGGCCTGCATTTTTCTTGCAGGTAATGGGTAGTTCGCCTAGGAATGTGTCATATCCTGTCCACTTAAACTAGGCAGAGATGCAGGTAAATTATTTCTTGGACAAGAAAGAATGTGGTGGTCAGCATGGCGGGCACATTTTATATAATTATTCTCTTAACCTTGTGTTCTGTTCCCATCACTCACATCTGTCTTCCCCTTATCACTTTGGGGCTTTATTGACCCCATCTAAGATAATACAGTTGCTCCGCCTAGACAAAATGGACAGTAAGCTTTTCTAGGGTGGTTCTCTGCAGAGTTTCTTGCATGCAGTACCCTTATTCTTCTTCTCCTTCTCCTCCTCCTCCTTCTTCCTCCTCCTTCCTTCTTCTTCCTTCTTCCTCTTCTTTCTTTTTTTGTACTGGAATTTAATCTGAGGTTTTCTACCACTGAGCAACATCCTCAGGCCTTTTTTAAAAATTATTTTTAATTTTGAGACAGGGTCTCACAAAGTTGCCCAGACTGGCCTCCAACTTGTGATCCTCCTACCTCAGCCTCTGGAGTAGCTGTGACAACAGGTGTGAGTCAACACTCCTGGCCCTCAGAACACACTTATTGAATTAGTGGATCACTCAGTGAATGATTTCAATGAATACACCTTCTCTCAAGCTTTGGCCCAAGCTGAAGGAGCAGCAGATGGGCCAGTGCTGAGGAAGGGGTGATCATCATGACTTCTGACCAGTCCCTTCCTCTTTCCCTAAATTGTGCTTTAATGACCAGTCCAACTTGCTTATGGAGACTCATTCCAGAAGCAGATATACCTCCCAGTCATCTCTTCTTGATGCATCCACATTGCAAATGGATCTCAAGTTTACTGGAATTCATTTTCAAAGTGATGTAAGGGGTGAAGGGAAAGGGGATTGTTTCTACCTTGAGAGAGCAAACAGGAAGGGATCATTGCAGGGACTCCAATTCCACCTCCATCTTTTTTTTTTTAAACATTTAATTTTTAGTTATAGTTGGACACAATATCTTTATTTTATTTATTTATTTTTATGTGGTACAGAGGATCGAACCCAGGGCCTTGCACATGCTAGGCAGGCGCTCTACCACTGAGCCACAACCCCAGCCCTCCACCTCCATCTTTATGTTAAAGGCTGAGGAGGAGGGTCTGGAACAGATACCTGTTCCCTGCAGGATCTTGGGGCCTTTTCATTAGATGGAGATCAGGCAAGAGTTTTGTTTTTTTTTTTTTTTTTAAGACAACTCCAGCCTCTTTCCTGGGATTGGGGTTAATGCCCTGATCCCTTGGAGGGTCCCATGTCATAGGCCCTGGGAGGGAGGGGGGAGGCACCTTGAGCCCAGAGATGTGGACTTGACCAATCACTTGTAAGACACAGCTGTAGGATTGGAGTAGGTGGGCCTGGGGGCCTGCAGGGCCTACAGGATCTCCCTGACTGCTGTTCTTTTTTCTGCTAAGGGAACTGAGACAGGAGCAGGAGTGGAGGAGCAGCAGAGTGTCCATAGCCAGAGTGTAGGGGAGTGGGCTATTGGTAGCCCCTGAAGCCTCCCAGCTAAAGTGGAGGTTCCCACCCATCTGGAAGCAGCTGCTGAAGGCCAAGACTGGACAGCGCTACTGATAGCAGGGCTAGTGTCAGCCTTGTAACACCTGGGGTTCCTGCCATATAGTTCTGGCTGCAGCCAGTACAGCTTAAGCAGGATTGGTTCAGCGGCAAGAGATGGGCCCTTCTTCCTTCCCTTACCCCTCTTCCACTCTTGGAGGCTGAAAGCAAAACATGGGCTGAGCTAAATATGGACTGACCTAAACCTCCTTGGTCCCTAGCTCCGGCCCCTTGAGGTCAGCCAGGCAGTCCCAAGAGAATGTGCAGGTCAGGAACAAGGGGGCATGTATGTCACGGAGATGTGGAAAATTCCAGCTGCTGCCCTGGGTTTTGGCATCATGTGGTGTGAAAGGATGGAGCTTGCTAGACCCCAGGCACACTGGTTCCTTGAAGGTCCAGCTCTGGTGAGATTCGGGTGCCTGATTATCTGCTCCAGGCTGTGGCTCCACTCCCTTTCCTCTCATGATAGCATCAGGCTGGGGCCCCATGGTGCCTGGGCCCTGCACCTGCAGTGGTGCTCCCCATGCCCACACTCTGCTGTGTGGTTGGAGCGCTGTGCCTCCTGGTAACATGTGTCTTGGAAACAGCAGAATCTGTCATGTCTGGCCAGCTTTGAGCACTGTGATCCCACCCCATGCGCTGAAGGGCATCCATCAATTAGGAAAGCTCTCCTATCCTTCACATGCTGCTTACCTGGACAGGAGCAAGGTTCAGCTACCAGGAAGCAGCAGGAGGGCTGGTAGGCGGAAAAGGAGAGGATAGTACTCCATTTGTGTACAATGTGTCAAAATGCAATCTACTGTCATGTATAACTAATTAGAACAAATTAAAAAAAGAAAAGAGAGGAGGAGCCACTGCAGGGAATGACAAGTTCAAAGGTCACAGGTCAATGAAGGGCCAGCTCTGGGTAGCCAGAGGAGGGCTGCAAACAGAGATTGCCATTATAGCACTATGCAAATAAGCAAGCAGGCTGGGGAGCACGGGAGGTGGCTTTTGCTTCCTGAAGGTGGTACTGTCCGAGGGACAGCATAAGGGAGGCATAAAGAGGCCTGCAACCTAGTAACTGCCCCTCTGAGAGTTGTTGGCATGGCCACAGCAGCATCCCAAGCCCCAGGGGAAGCAGAACGTGAGCAGGTGCAGGGACAGGAAATAGATATCTGTTGCCTCTGATCTGACCTCATTTGCCTCCAACATCAGAAGGTGCCTGAGGTGATGGGTTTCCTCAGAGCCCACACCAAGGAAACCCTGAGTCACAGAGGGTTAGAAAGCATGGTTTACTTTGTCTCAGGGTTCTTCAGGTTCAGACGCCACACCGTCCCTAAGTTGGACCTGAGCCAAGGGCAGGAGGCAGCTCTCAGACGGGATTCCTGAATTCCAGGCTCTGCCTCCCACAGCCTGAGGGGTCAGACCTGGAAGTGTCTGCTTAGGCACCTTTTACGTTTTCCTGTGCAAGGTAAATAACTGCTGGAGGTGAGAGTGGGAAATTATTCTAATCTTTCCACCCAGCTCTGGGAGGCTGAGCACAACCAGACCCCTTCATTCTCAGGGCTAAAGGGGCATCTATTCCCTTGTTCTTGGCTATAGTCCTCCACCAGTCTCTCAGTGACAGGTGCCAAGGTGATACCATACAATGGAGAGCCTATAGCGAGGACCTACTCTGGGATGGGCCCTTTCAGTTTTTTGGTACTGGGGATTGAAGTCAGGGGTGCTTTACCACTGAGCCACATCCCCAGCCCTTTTTTATATTTTATTTAGAGACAGGGTCTTGCTAAGTTGCTGAGGCTGGCTTTGACTTTCGATCCTTCTTCTTCAGCCTCGAAAACTGCTGGGGTTATAGGAGTATACCACCACACCCAGATTCTCCTCCTCCCCCCTTTCTTTTCATTTTTTTCTCTTTAGCTTCCACATGAGAACATACAACCCTCTACTTTTTGAATTATTTTGCTTAACACAATGTTCACAAGTTCCATCCATTTTCCTGCAAAGGACATTTCATTCTTCTTCATGGCTGCATGAAACTAGTTGTGTATATATACCACATTTTCTTTATCCATTCTTCCATTGATGGACACCTAGACTGATTCCGTAGTTTGGCTATTGTGAACTGTGCTGCTGTACACATGGGTGTGCGTGTATGGCTATAGTATGATGACTTTAATTCTGGAGGATAAATACCAGGCAGTGATATAGCTGGGTCATATTACATTTCCATTCTGAGTCTTTTGGAGAACCTTCATATGATTGGAAAGGAGACTTATTTGACTGGATCAGCAACTTGGCAGGTGGAGGGACTCTTAGAAGAGATTGGAGGGAAGGGAGACCAGGCTCCTCCCAGAACTCATATGGAATGGCAAGAAGATGATGGCAGGACTTGAAGCATAAATGGAGAGGGAACTGTCATCCCAAGGATTAAAAAAAAAAAAAAAAAAGTGCAGAGAGAGGAAAAGTCTCAAAGTTTGTTTGCCTCTCAGTTCCCCAACACATTGGTTACATTTAGGGTACTCCCTCTCAGCGTCTTCCAGCACCAGCTGACCTCAGGGAAGGGACCAGAAGGCAAGAGAACAGGGATAACTGGTTGAGGCTTGACATATCTATTCCCTTCCTCTCAGAGCTGGAGAGCATGGAGACTCCTGCTCTTGGGAGGCTCATCCCAGGATCAGCGACTGGGTTCAGCAGAGGTGGTGAATCCTAGCAATAATTCCCAAACAGTTCTTCCTCAGCCTAGCAGCCAACCTTCTTGAAAAGCTGGCTGAATGGGCTTTTCTCAGCAGTAGGCATCTGGGCAGAGATTCATACTCCATATCCAAAGGCAAGATTCTTTTTGTGGTGCTGGGGATTGAACCTGGGCATTGTACAAGCTAGGCAAGTGCTGTCACCGAGCTACACCCCCAGTTTGGTAAAGGTGAGATGCTTTAGACTTAGGAAGCAAAGACGGGCATTTGGGAATTCCTAAGTGCATGGAACTATGCAAACATGTGCATGAATTTTTCTAGTAAAAAAGTTCTGTTATCTGGGCTGGGGATGTGGCTCAAGCGGTAGCGCGCTCGCCCGGCATGCGTGCGGCCCGGGTTTGATCCTCAACACCACATACAAAGATGTTGTGTCCGCCGGAAAAAAAAAAAAAAAACTAAAAAAAAAAAATATTAAAAAAATTTTCTCTCTTAAAAAAAAAAGTTCTATTATCCTTGTATCTCCAAAGGAATCCATAATTCTAAAAATATTAAGAACTACTGATTTGGGGCTGGGGATGTGGCTCAAGCGGTAGCGCGCTCGCCTGGTATGCGTGCGGCCCGGGTTCGATCCTCAGTACCACATACCAACAAAGATGTTGTGTCTGCTGAGAACTAAAAAATAAATATTAAAAATTCTCTCTCTCTTTAAAAAAAAAAGAACTACTGATTCAAACAAAGGAAAGCAACCTCTCCTCCTTCCACAGCCTGGTCAGGGCGTTCAGCAGAAATACTGTTCTCCCCACAGCAGATGCCCTGAGGTGGACTTCCAGGAGGTCCCTCTGAGAGGGCCTGATGTTCTTGCCCACACCTCAGCCAACAGCTGTGTACCGCTTCAGTACCTGATGGCTCTGGCCACATGGCTCTTCATTGCAACTGAGCATCCTTACTCTGGCTTCTGCTCCCACCATCTTATTTCCACCTAATTTTCAAAATTTGCAAATCTAATTGTGCCTGGCACATACAAGGCACCAAAAAATCTGAATGAATGAATGTAACCAAAGAACATTTGGTTCTTTGTGGCAGTAGGTAAGCCCAGATTCCTTCCAGGGCTATTCTGGCACACAGTGTACAGGACGACTGCAGTTACCGAGACAGGGCAATGACAGGACCCCTCAGACCTCATTCTACCTCCCCTCCACACCGTAAAGGGGCATCCCAGATACCCACTCCTAATGAGGGGGCTCTGGGGAATGTGACAACTAGAAAGCAGTAGGTATACTCCTGGGAACCCTCAATGCAGCTACTGTTCCAACAGGAAGGCTGGAGCCATGTCTTCTCACTGCACCTCCATTTCCAAGGCTTTAACTCTCTTCCCCATTGGCAATGTCTCCTTGCATCCTGGGCTGGTTTTCAGAATCAGTTTGTAATCAGCTCAATTAAGTATGATCATCCACTCACTCTACTTCAGAAGTTCAGGCTCTAGAGAGGTTGTCGACTGGGGTTTTAAGCAACTGGAGGAGCCAAAGCACAAACCAATGTGAGGGGTTGCCCAAGAGACACGTTGACCCAGGAAGGAAAATACCAATCCAGAGTGAAGTGCTGCAGGGGTGGGGATGGTGACTAGAGCAATAGATAGGTGGGAGAAAGATGGCCATTCATGGAGTTGGGATTTCTAAAAGAAGACATGTGAAAAACAGAAGATCCAAATGCTGAGGGCAAAGGGGCTGCTGGGAATACTGTTCGCAGTAAGCCCTGGCCTTTGGAGAATTGTGCTTAAGGGCAAACCAGTGCTTCCTGGCTCCCCTTTCTTTTCTCTTTCTTTTTTTTTTTTTTAAAGAAGTCATTTTTCTTAAATATTTTAGTTTTAGGTAGACACGATATCTTTATTTTCTTTTATGTGGTGCTGGGGATCGAACCCAGTGCCTCACGCTTGAAGCGGGCCACATCAGGAGCCCCATTCCCTAACTCTTTCTATTGGATACCAGATTCAGACCCTGGGGCAGTTGCTAAATTCCACCCAAGATCTTAAAGGTTGGGGTTGGAGAACACAAGAATATTAGCTGCTTCTTGCAGTCAAACAGGGATCTTGTAGGAAAAATAGGCAGACAGGATCACCAAAGACTCTCATTTTGAACCTGATCTAAATAAAAAAGGCAAGCATTGGGGCCACACAGCTGTGGGGATGGAACCCAGGGTCTTGCACACAAAAGGCAAGTGCTCTGCCACTGAGTTAAATTCCAAGCCTCCAAATTAGTCCTTAAGAGCATCCCTTGCCCACCCTCTCCTTTCTTCCTGAGTATGGAGCACTGATGACTGATTTCAACAAAGGGCAGGGATCACCCTTGAGTGATGCTCCTTTGGGGAAGTGACAGCAAAGGTGTGGGATGAGGAAAGAGGTTAGGTCGGAATTACCTAAGATAATATATATGGCATTAACAAGTGCTCATTAAATCTCGGCTACTACTAAAGTTGGTGAAAAGACGTAGAAAGGCATTAATAACTAAAGTATTATATTAGTCCCAAATCTTGGGTTTCAGGAAAAAACACATTTAGAACAAGGGATTAGTTTTATTTTCCCACAGGATTTTTTTTTTTAATATAAAACAAAGATAAAACACATCTCAACCCTGTAATCTGCCAGCATGCCTTGTTTCTACAAGATGCATGATAGACCAGAAGACTATGTAGCAGAGTCTTTAAAAGCATTTGGTTGAGAGAAATAGAAAAAGCAGACCTCGGGGAAGCCTGGGCAAGCCCAAAGGCTGAGCTCTGTCCTGTGCTCTAGAGCAGTCCTTGTCTTTTCAGATCCTCATATGTCTTCTTATTCACAACATTCCCACTAGAGTCTTCATATTCTTCCTAAAAAAGAAGGGGTATACTTTGTTAGCTAAACTCCTCAAAAGAAACAACTAGAAATAATCTCTGGGTACCTGAGCTCACCTAATCAAATTCCATGGCATACCCTAGTACTATTACTTCTTTTTTTTGGCACTAGGTATTGAACCCTGGGATGCTCTACCATTGAGCAATATCCCCAGCTCTTTTTAAATTTTGAGATTAAGTCTCACGAAGTTGCCCAGGCTGGCCTTGGATTTGTGATCCTCCTGCTTCAGCCTTCCGAGGTGGTGGGAAAACAAGCATGATCCATAGCACCCAGCTATACCCTAGTACTCTGAGTTTGGCGTTTATCTAAGACAGTCTTTCTCAACTGGGGTTCCATAGAGAATTAAATTCTCTTCTAGATATCCAGAAGGGTATAATACATCCTTAGGGTATCTGAGTTAAGAGTTCATTTTCATCACTTCCTGTGTTTAAAATAAGAAACTCTGGTTGAGAAAGGATGACCCAGGACAACATTTTTCAAATGGTTCCCAAGAACCCTGTCTTTGCCCAGGACTACTGCAGAGGCTGACAGGGAGGCCAAGAAGGCTGAGTTTCCCCACTTCCAGAATAATTCTGCTTTATATATTGGAGTTCTACACTACAGCTAGAAAGGTTTGTTCCCCTCATGCCCCACTAAAAAAGAAATACTAAAACCCCAACCTCAAAGAAAGGGAGGCTATGGCCAGTCCCTATGAAGCTTGGGGTCAGTCACTACCATATTTCATATACATGTCATTTCCCATCCCTGAAACCTGGTGCGTGGATGATGACCGAGACCAAAAGGACATTTCCCACTCCTGTGAGAGGTTCATTTCTTGTGTTTCCCCCCCGCCCCCCAAAGGAGACCTAATTATGACATAAGATTCCTTAGTTTATTATTTCCCATGGCAGGACAAGAGATGCAGTCCACCTGCTGGCCATTCAATATTTCAATGGGAGAATACAATCTCTCTATAGATTCAAAGTGTAACAGATATCAACAGATATCACAACTAAATTAGGTTTATACCTCAGGAGTCGACTGATAGACTTATCATATTATACTTGCTACTAAAGTAAACCAAGGACCACTTTCACCTCCCTTCTACATGGTCAGAGAACTCTGTCACCTGATGCTGTACCCATTAACACCCACCTCAGTGTCAGGCTGCCATCTTTCTGAAGCCTTCTGAAGTTTCAGCTTGGCCCACACTGCAGGAGGAGAAATAAGCAGCAATCAGGACTCACTAGTGTCATTCCACTGGTAAATAGTGCCACAACACTCCCCACTCCCAGAAAAATCCCCCTCTCCTCTGCCTTTGAGACCTTTACCTGCTCCAAACTGGAATTTGGTTCTGAACTTCCTATAGACAAAACTTTTGATGCAAAATTTACCTGATATTGCTTTGTTTTGAAAGAAAAGGTAGATCAAATATAACAAAAGATCTCTTAGAACTGAGAACTGACACTCTTGAAGAAAGAAGTTAATGTGGAACAACCCCTGGGAATTACAAAAGAAATTGATCTGCCTCCAAGTCCGTAAAGGAGAGGAAAATAATATTTGATATCATCAAATATATTTACTTAAAGTCTGATACATATATTTCAAATTCAGAGAAAAAGAGGAGAAATACATGGGCCATATTATATTGTTATACGGCATGTATATACAAATATGTGACAATGAATTCCACCATTATATACAACTATAACACACCAATTAAAAAAAAGAGGAAAAAAAAAAAAGCAAAAATATGGTAGCCAGAGTCTGAAAGGTAAAATGATTCAACAGACTACAGAGACATTAAAATAAAAATTATTGACAATTCAAGAATAGATTATGTGTGGCACACATCTATAATCCAAACAGCTCAGGAAGCTGAGGCGGGAGGATCTTTAGTTCAAAAACCAGCCTTAGAAACTTTTGAGACTCTGTCTCTAAATATAAACAACAGGCTGCCGATGTGGCTGAGTGGTTAAGTGCCTCTGGGTTCAATTCCTGGTACCTAAATAACAAAATAAAACAAAAAACAATGGAGGAAAAGGGTAGAGCAGTAGTGGATATGTAACTCTTCACGGAAATCTGGAAGTCATTAGGAAAGAATGTGATCATCACTGGGGGCCTGAGTGAGTTCACTAAGAATAAGTCAAGAAAACTAACTCAATTTCCTGTTTTTAATGGGATATTGAACAATTAAAAAAAAAAACCAAAAAAACCCACAGATAGATAAGGGATATCATGATTTTAGTAAAGAAATTACTTTTACAGATAATATCCATGGATTTCCTTAAAAACCTGTAAATAAACTATGCTACTATTATAAATAAGATGGAAATGTGGCTCAGGGGCAGAGCACTTTCTAAGCAAACATAAGCACCTAAAAAAAAAAAACAAAAACAACAAAGGAAAGAAGTACAGTATGGAGGAAGGAAAAAAGACTGTTTTAGGACAGTCATGGGTTTGACCCCTGGCTTTTTCCATGTACAAGCTATTTGACTTTGAAAAAATTACCTAACTTCTATGGATTCTTTTGAAAACGTGGGTAACACACTACTTTACTGGTTGTTCTTTAAAAAAAAAAATTTTTTTTGTAGTTGTAGATGGACAGAATGCCTTTATTTGTTGATTTTTATGTGGCACTGGGGGATCAAACCCAATGCCTCATGCATGCTAGGCAAGAGCTCTGACCCTAAGCTACAGCTCCAGCCCTCACTGGTTGTTCTTAAGACTAAGTATACAATATCTCTTTTTTATTAGCCACACAGTAAGCACTTGATAAATGATAACTAGTAATATTAAACTTAATAAAAAACGAGTGACTTTAGATCTTACTCCTCAAACTAAAAGTAGCCTAGAAATGAAGATGAGGATGATGACAGCTTACATTTAGTCACTAGATACATGTTATGTTATGGTGTGGTTATGAACATTCACCCGTGCTATTACTTCACTTAAACTTCAAGACAACTTCATGAAGTAGATATAGTATTACCATCTCCCTCTTAATAGATGAAGAAATTGAGGAGCTAAGGGAAGTAACTTGCCCAGGAGTCTCACAGCTAGTTAAGTGGTGAAGTGTTAGCTTGAACTCCAATAGACTGCTTCTCTGGATTTTTTTTTTTTTTTGTGTGTGTGTGTGTGGTGTTGGGGATTGAACCTAGGGCCTTGTGCATATGAGGCAAGCACTCTACCAATTGAGCTATATCCCCTGCCCCAAGAGACTGCTTCTGTGGAGTTAGCATTTTTTTTTTTTTAATTTAGTTATAGATGAACACAACACCTTTATTTTTATGTGATCCTGAGGATCAAACCCAGGTCCTCCCACATGCCAGGTAAATGCTCTATCACTGAGCCACAATCCTAGCCTTTTTTTTTCTTTTCTTTTTTGTGGGGGGAATCACATCCTCACCCCCATTTTGTATTTTATTTAGAGACAAGGTCTCACTAAGTTGCTAAGTGCTGCTGAGGCTGCCTTTGAACTCCTCATCCTCCTGTCTTAGTCTCCTGAGCTGCTGGGTTACAGGCGTGCACCACCACACCTGGCTCCTAACCCTGCATTCTTAACCACATGAAATCCTACTGGAAATGTTTTTGATCCAACTTCAACCTTGAACAGAACACATCAAAACATAGAGAACCTGACAGAATCCATCAACCAAATCCTAGGGTAAAGGGTCCTGAAAAGATGATGGGAAATTAAAAGCAGAAAAACAAATTTATTTTTAACAAAATGATAAGGAATATAGATTGAAGACAAAATAATATCTACAGAATCATTATGGGAATGAAAAAAGCATAGAATTTATAGTGCTTCAGATAATCAAGATATAATCACCATGTATGCATAATTCAACCAAATAATGTATATTAAAATATCTGTGCAAAATAGTTTCAAGTCTACTATATAATTTGTGTAAATGAGAAATATAAACAAACCTAACAAAAGCCAAGATATTCTTCCCAGGAAAGGAAAAAATGTAAATAGAGCAATGAATATACTTAGTATAAAAAGCTTAATACCACTATATAACCAAGAGTATTGATGACTGGGTTAAAAACAGACAACACTTGCATCCAAACTTTATTTTTATTACTTTTTAGAGACATGGACTTGCCAAGTTGCCAGGCTGGCCTTGAACTTACTCTCTTTCTGCCTCAGCCTCCCAGGCAGCTGGGATTACAGGCATGTGTCACTGCCTGATGCTGCCAAACTTTTGATGGCTGGGGAAAAAGTCTGAGTGTAACAGAATCTAAGAAACAATGTGACTGAGTAAAGGCAATAAACCACAATGGGAGTGATTAATAAAGTTACAAAATTGAGTTTATGTGGCTTAAACAACACAATAAATTATATGTAAAGCTGACAGAAATACAAGAAATAAAATTTAAGTATAAAATGTTCCTATCAGAATTAAATATGAATAGATTATAAAGTATAAAACTAAAGACTTGAACACTGCAGGAAGAACAAACCAATCAACATATGGAGAGAAGTACTTCCTTTCAACAAATCGTTGATATATATTTGGATACAAAAATACAACATACCCTGGGCTGGGGATGTATCTCAGTGGTACCAGCGCTTGCCTAGCAGGCTCAAGAGCCTGGGTTCCATCCTCAGCACGACAAAAAACAAAAACAAACAAACAAAAAAAAACCATCCTAAAGACAGAAATTCTACACCTTTCAGCAAGGGCCAAGAAAAATAAAATTATTAAAGAGTTCAAACAATCAGGATTAAAAATACTCTTTTATAAAAAAAAATTTTATTAGTTATTGATGGGCCTTTATTTATTTGTTTAGATGTGGTGCTGAGAATCGAACCCATGTTAGGCAAGCACTCTACCACTGAGCCACAACCCCAGCCCCTAAAAGTATTCTTTAAAATAATTTTTATTTCTTGGTGCTTTAACACTGAGCTACATCTGGGACCCGTTTTATATTTTATTTAGAAACAGTGTCTTGCTAAGTTGCTTGCTAAGTCTCGCTAAATTGCTGAGGCTGGTTTTGAACTTGGAATCCTCCTGCCTCAGCCTCCAGAGTCCCTGGGATTACAGGTGTGCACCACCGCAGCCCGCTTAATTACTTTTTAAAAAAAAATTATTTGTTTTTTTTTAGTTATAAATGAGTGTGAAGTCTATTATGACATATTTATATAAACATGGTGTATGTCTTATTCTAATTAGGATTCCAGTTTTGTGGGTGTAGAGGATGTTGAGATTCACTGAGTTGTATTCACACATGCACATAGGAAAGTTATGTCAGGTCCATTCCACTGTCTCTCCTATTCCTATCTCCCTCTTCCCTTTATTGTCCTTTCTCTAATCCACTGAACTTCTATTTCCCCCTCGCACCCCAACTGTTTAATTACTTTTTAAAACTAAAAAAAGTTGGCCACAGTAGCACGTGTCTGTAAATCCCGGCAACTTGGGAGGCTGAGGTATTCTTGGCAACTTTTTTTTTTTTTTTTAAATTTCTTATAGTTGTAGATGACAGCATGCCTTTATTTTATTAATGTGGTGCTAAGGATCAAACCCAGTGCCTCACACATGCTGTCACTGAGCTACAGCTCCAGCCCTGTTGGCAACTTTTAGTGAGACCATATTTCAAAATAAAATAAAAATAAAAAGTACAGAAAATACAGCTTAGTCACAGCACCCCTGGGTTCCATCCTTAGTACCAAGAAAAGAGCAAGCAAGCAAGGAAACAAGCTCAGAGAAAACATCTTTACTAAATAAAGCTCTAAGTACAACATATCAAAACCAGATATTTCTAATGAAGTCCTTATAGAATGACATCTAGTAAATGTTTGTATTAGAAAGAATAAAGCAACAAAGAGAATAAAGTTCTTGATTAAAGATTTAAGAAAGGAATAAACAAGATCACAGAAAGCATTAATAGGAAAAATAATAAAACTCAGAATAGAAATGAAACATGTGGTTCTCTACTTTGTCATAAGAAATTACGATAGTTATTAAATAAACATTTTCTTAGAGCAGTTCCTACATATCTGTGTAAAATAGCAAGTTTCAAGCAACAGAAAAGAATACAGCACATAATCTAATCCATTTTATGTCATAAATATGGTTCTGATCACTAAACTTGACTATGTCTCAAAAAAAAAAGCTTATCTTATTTATGGATATAAATACAAAACTTCTCAACAGAATCCTAACAAGTTAAATCAGTACATTAAATTATCTATTGTCTAGTATGAAACAATTTAGGAATGCTGTTATATTCAATTCCTGAGAAAAGAAAAAGTGGTAAAATCTTATAATTATTTTAACAACTTCTGAGAAATACTTGCCTTTCTTCAACTACACCTATTTTACAAGTTAATACAAGCTGGGTGCAATAGTGCTCACTTGGAATCCCAGCAGCTTGGAAAGCTGAGGCAGGAGGATCTTGAGTTCAAAGCCAGGGCTTGATCTAAGCTTATTCTTATGTCCTGAAAAGTAATAAACTAACTAAGAAGTGAAGAGTAATAAATTAACTAAGGCAAATTGTAGGAAATAAGAAATACAGAAAAATGAACTGTGGAGCTGGGGTTGTGGCTCAGTGCTAGAGCACTTGCCTAGCATGTGTGGGGCACTGGGTTCAATTCTCAGCACTGCATATAAAAATAAAATGAATTAAATAAAGGGACATAAACAACTGAAAACAAAACTATATTTTTTTATATAAACTTTTTTTTTGTTATAGATGGTCATAATATCTTTATTTATTTTTATATGGTGCTGAGGATCCTACCCAGTGCCACACATGCTAAGTAAGTACTCTACCACTGAGCCACAACCCCAGCCCCTTGTGATCTATTTATTAGTGCTGCAGAAATAAAAAAAATACATCTAAAGATAAGAATGCATTCAAAATATGGTGTTGATTCATTCTATGAAATTTTATTACTACTTTAATTTTCTCCTAACAAAGTAAAGGGCAAAACTGGGAATGTAAAGAAGCTAATTAGGGAGGCTGAGGATATAGCTCAGTTGATAGAGGGCTTGCCTCACATGCACAAGGCCCTGGGTTCAATCCCCAGTACCAACACCAAAAAAAAAAAAAAAAAAAAAAAAAAAGAAGAAGAAGCTAATTAGGTAATATGGCAATAAGACATGTTATGACTCTTATTGGAAACACTTTTGATCCTGTTTGGAAAATTATTAAGGAAAGGTATGAAAGCAAGGAGAGAAGTCCCCAAAGCTAACCACACACAAAAAATGCAGTGAAGAGTCCCCAGAATCCATGGGTTAAATCAGGATCAAGGAGCTCTTCAGAGAGTTACTTCTATTTGGGTTGGCCATGGAGCCATCTGACAACCTGAGATGGGAGCCAAGGGAGCTGGCTGGGCAAGAAAGCTGAGCAGCGGGCTGAATGCAGCAGAGAGTGAGCACCTGTAATGTAACAGTGGAGTGGTAAAGTCCCTTTTTTCTCAGCTTTATCAGCCTCAAGTGAAACTTGACAGAAAAGAGATGAACCAGAAAGAAAAGAGTCTGCCAGGAAGATGTTAATGGTAGAAAAAACTACTGTCAGGAAGGAAGGAAGCCTTGGACTGAGGGACCCTGGGTGCTTTGGCAGCACATTTCCTGATGTGCACTCCACTTCACTCTTTCTCCACAAAGCATTTCTACTTTTCCCCCTTTATATCAGTGGTTCTTAAATTAAAATCAATTCATAAAAATAAAAATACGATCATTCACTCAATCTTGCATACAGGGGAGTTCACAAATTCAGGTTAATCAAAAGCCTTGTTTTAACTCTGCACTGCAATCTTCTCAAGGGGGGGAAATAATTAGTACTGCTAACTCACTCCCTTCAAAAAAGCAGCAATTATATGAATGCTCTAGCTTTTATATATCCACAGCCTACTGCCCCTGGACCTAGATACACCAGGTACTGGGAGAGTGAATCGCAAGAGAAGTGGCCACTTGGTCTGGACTAGAGAGGAGTCAACAAGCTTACTTACAGGAGACAGCATCTTCAATCTGTGTCACATTAGCAAAGTGGGCAGTGTTTGGGATGCCCAAACACCTCATGCCATGGGCATGACGCCATTCCTGGAACAGAAAAACAAAAGAACAATGTAAAATGGAAACAACTGAAGCACAGCACTATTTTATTCATAAACTCTACCTTGAACCTGTGCAAAAGACTCCCAACTAAAGGCAGCATTCTTTTAGTGGTTTATATTTATAAATAGCTGGCTATGACTGACAATAGGTTGATATTTCTTTTTTTCTTTTTGGTACAGGGATTGAACTCAGGGGCACTCAATCACTGAGCCACATCCCCAGCCCTATGCTGAAATTTAGAGATAGGGTCTCACTGAGTTGCTTAGTGCCTCACTGAGGCTGGCTTTGAACTCTTAATCCTCCTGCTTCAGCCTCCTGAGCTGCTGGGATTACAGGCATGTACCACTGTGCCTGGTTGGGTTGATATTTCAAAGCCAAACTGCACAGTCTCAGATTTACAAAACCTAGATTCTAGATTAAATTATTTTACAGACAAAATCTCTGGGTCAAAACCACAGAAAAACAATTCTAACCTCTAGCCTACTGTGCTGTGGGAGAAGCTGACAGCCCTAGCAACATCCACCACCAGCATAAGGGATATGATGGCAGGTAGGCATCATCTTTGTAAGTAAAGGAGAACATAGTATTAGGTAGAAGAGAGGATGTGAAAGAGAGTAGGGAGAGATGCTAAAATAATGACAATTTTGGCTCTCGGATGGCAAATGACATGGGCTTTATTCTAGATGCCAAACCCAATCATTCAGTGGTATTAAGAAAGATTCAGGGCAAGAGACTCAGAAGAAAGGATCCTAGGATCAACTAGCAGCATGGACCTAGGGGAGTTAATACAGATTCACCATCCTTGGTCTAGCATATGGAAAATTTCCTTTCAAGTACTAAGAGCTGAAGGCAGAAATGAAACAAGGGTGAGTCCATTTTCTAGAGTACTACCCAGACAGTGCCTTGTCTCAAGAATTGCTTGATAAATTTCAGAACCTTGCAGAGTAATAACCTAGGGTCAGAAATGATCTAAGATGCTAGTAGAAACAAAAGAGAAATAAAAGAATAGCAAGAGGAAACCGAAATGATGCCCAATAGCTGAGTGGTAGAATGCTTCCAGAAACCGTCTCAGGTATTCAAGGCAAGCATTGGTGCCAAGGGCCAAATGCCATGGATTCTTTTTCCCTTCAGCTCTAGACACTAGTGGTTCTCGTGGGTTGCTTCTGTCCTTCTCTAAAGGTCTCATGTTTCTGCTTCATTCTCAGGAAATAAGGCTCTGAATTCCTTACAGCAAAGTGCCGCTGGAAGGCCTTAGGCCCTCGGTAGGTGTAGTTTCCACAAATCTCACAGTTGTAGTTGATATTCAGGCCATGAAGCTTATACAGCCAGTAGGGAATTGGCTAAAAGAAACCAAATTAAAAAAAGCATCAGTTTACTAAGGTTTGCATCTGCTCAAAGGTTGGGGAGTGGAGAAAGTGGTAGTGTGGGACTAACTTTGCCATCCCAGCCGAGGGGCAGGTTTTTGGGGTTGTAAATGATCTCATTCTCTTCATCTTCACTTTCACTCTCACTAATCTGCTCTTCCTCCTCCTCTTCTCGCTCTTCTCCAGTCCTGGCTTGCTTGCGTTGTACATTTTCATGAGTAAGTTGTCGCTGTTCCTAAGGAAGGTAATAAATGAAACGGAAAGTCAGGACAAGGTAGTACAGAACAAAAACGGAAATTTCCTATTTTCCTATAACCCTTGCTGACACCTCATTTCCAAGGATTAGGTTCTTTGTTGTAGAATAGGGTAAGTCCTGCCATCTTACCAGAACTCCTTTTCAGCAGGTCCTACTGAAACATTTCCTGAACTAGTCATTTCTTCTTCCTGCTGCTACTACCCTAATCAAGGTGATGAACTTCCAACTCATTCCAGGTATCCCCATTCCAAACCAGTTTCAATTTTGCTGCCATATCTATCTATTAATAAAAGCAAATCCAATGGTGTACTGTCCTCCTTAAGAATTTTTTTCCCCCTTCTTTTCTGTTTGCAGTGTCAGAGATTGAACCCACAGCCTCACACATGCCAGGTAAGCATTCTACCACAGTGCAATACCCCCAGCCCTTAAAGAATTTTATTAGTTTCCTACAGTTTATAGGACAGTTTAGACGAAGTCCAAATTTCCATCATAACTCTCCAAAATTTTCTCTGACCACTCCTTCCCCAACAAAGCATACTCCAGACCAATTAACTTATTTCAGGAAGATGCAATTTCCTTTCATAATGTTGTACCTGTGTCCTTGCTGTTTCCTCTAACTTGAAACACCTTTACTCCCTCTTTTTGCTTAGAAAACTAAATCTAAGTGTATTATGCCATGTTCACATTACAATTATTTGTCTCCCTTGACAACAATATGAGTTTAAGGACAAGAGCCCATGAGAATATACACTATTGTACCCCAAAATTTAGCATAATGTCTGGAAATCAACAGATGTCAATCAATGGCAAAAATCTTATTGGTGCATGAGAGCAACTTCTGGAAACCACTAGTTGAAATTGGAATTCCAAAGAGAGGTGCCACCTCCTGGCAGGCAAGGTGAGATGCTCTCAGAGAAGGGAGACAGTAGTGGGTATTTTGTCAACAGCATGATGCCCATGGCCACCTAGCCAATCTTCAGAGGACTGGTAACTCAGTCTGCTGAACATACCAGGACAGCCAAGTTTGTTCACTATGGATAATGTGTGTACTCAGGGTTTAATATCTGGCTAGCCTTTCACTGAAAGCAATCATAAGAGAATCAACAAGTTCCACAGCCACAAAATAGCAGGGTCCTCAAACAAGGGCAGAATGAACATGTCCATGGCAACTGACAAAGATATGTAAACAAATTCTCTGGGGGCTGGGGATGTGGCTCAAACCGTCTGGCGTGCGTGCGGCCCGGGTTCGATCCTCAGCACCACATACAAACAACAATGTTGTGTCTGCCAATAACTAAAAAATAAATATTAAAAAGAAAAAAATTCTCTCTCTCTCTCCCTCTATCACTCTTTCTTTAAAAAAAAAAAAAAAAAAAAAATTCTCTGGGCCAGCTCTGAGAGCACCTGCAAAGGGAATTGTTCCAAGAGCAGCTGGGAATTGTACATAGCAGACATGCCAGAATAGATTGTATGGAGGACTCCCTGAGACTATGCATCTTCTCTGAATGAGTATAGCACTTTCTTCCCCTTCTCTTCTCAGAAAGGAAGAGATGTGGGGCTGGAGAAATAGCTCAGTTGGTAGAGTGCTTGCCTTGTATGCACTAGGCCCTGAGTTAATCCCCAGCACTAAAAAAAAGAGAAAGAAAGAGATGTTTCTCCCATTCCTCCTTCTTTCTCTTGAGACAGGCATCCTGGGCAGGCCAGGCCTTTCTCCCCTCTAACCATCTTTCAACACTTAAGAGAACATAAAAGCATGTTTATAGCCAGCTTTCTGCTGCATCAAGCTACCCTACCCAAATTTCTCAGAATCTTCCTGACATCTAAGAAAAGCCTTTCCATAACACTTCATACCAAAAGCTTCTGTGGATGGCTTTTTTCTTACTTGTCTTTTGACAATCTGCTTCTTGTGCCACCCCTTGGCATATGTTGAAGTTCAGGCAAAGAGTTTGTACTGTTATGGTTACTATGTTGGCAGGGGAATCTATTCTCTTTACCTGGTCTTACAGGAATTGGGCAGCTGTGGGAATATTACCCAACAACAGAACAGGAATCTACAGAAGGTCCAAGGACCAAGAGAATCCTATTTTGTACTGAACTAATTTATTACCTACTCCTTCCTCTTATGACCTGGGGGTGGTGGGGCAGGGGGTCGGCGGGAAGAAGGGGCGAGGGGGGGAACCTACCCCTTCTCTCTTACTCCTATTCATAGCCCCCAGCTGTGGGAGACCATCCTTGCACATGACTTGAGATTCCTCCCCAGCTGGGTGTGAGGCGTTCAGTTGCAAAAATGTGGCAGAGCTTTCCCCACCCTTCTTGGGTTCGAGAACGTGTCCGTGTGGAGGCGCATCTTACCACTATCCTGGGATCCAATCATCTCATCTGATATTGCAGCAATGACCCCCTTGACCTTCACTGGATGGGATTTTCCCCAGTATTTTTAGTTCCCCAATAAAAGCCCTCTCCCTAGCATATTTTCTCTCTCTCTCTCCCTCTCTGGCCTCTTCTGTAAAACTTCGCTGCCCCCCTGGGGAACTTGAGGCTGAGAGCTAGAAAAGCCATTCAGGAGCTGGTTTAAAGGTAAAACTGTGTGTCTGTGTCTTTAATTTAAACTCCCCGAGAATTTTCCCTAGTGACTGAACCGTTCCGGTCTGTGCTGGCGGCAGACTAAACCCAGCAGAGTACTCACCCCAAGAATCTCCACGTATTCATAAATCTGGGCTTCCAGGAAAGCAATGTCTTTGTTCCTCTCAGTGTCTCTAAGAATAAGAAACAAGCTATATCACTCAGGAGTTCTTTCTTTCACCCCGAACTTTGTTTCCTCAGTCTGGGAACATTTATATTATATTTGCATTAAAAATTACAAGCATAGAAGAAAATAGCTATGAAAACTAACGCTCTGTTCATTTTAGGACTCACAGAAGTCCTGAGATTATTTCTTAGAATGCATGGAGGCTTCCCTTTTGAACTCACCCACAAGATGAGAGACCTGTTAAGACCATTTCAATTGACATCATTATATTTATGAAGGAAATGTGATAAAGAAGAACCAGCTCTCCATGTAGGCAGACCTGGGTCAAAAACACTAACTCTTGCTACTTACTAACTGCAAGACACAGTTACTACACTCTACAATTTTTGTGAAACCTCATCTGAAAAATCAGGATAATAACTACTTTTCAGGATTGTTGTGAAAATTGGAAAAAAATATAAAAAGGACTGGGGATGTAGCTCAGTGATAAGGCACCCCTAAGTTCGATCCCTAGAATCAAAATACATACACACATAAGTAGATAGATAGATGAAAATTCTCCACTGTGGTAAAATTCTGCATGGGAACAAAATTTGAGAATTACAGCAAGTGTGCCACCTGAGCCACTCACCGCTTAGTGCCCTTTGATTTTGGATTTTTTGCAAACAGAGAGGTGTCAAGAGATTCCAGGGACTTTCCTTTGGTGCTGAATAGCCTCTGGGCTCGCTCTTCTAGGGTCCTAAAAGGATAGGAAGGCAGAGAACATCAGGGTGACTTTTCTAAACCCAGTTTTGCTTATTTATTTATTTTTTTTTGAAAGATGGGGTGACCAAAAAAAAGTAATCAGCTACTTACAGGATCACACAAACATGACAAACAAGACAGCCTTGATGGAAAAAAACCAAAACAACAGTCTCTTACCCACCACATTTCAGGCCTAAAGCTAAGAGTGCAGACTTCAATCTGTCCAGACCCAGGGAAGCCAACTCCTGTACAAAGAAATGTTACTACATTATATGGATACATTTTGGTAAACTACTAATTCAGGCTGATGGATCTGAGTTCTTAAGGGTATGGCTAGAGCACACATTCCATACCTAATCTCCTAGCAGAAAGCTGAAACTCTTCACAGGACCGACACGGTAGTCATATTCATACTTAACTAAACTGGTTGTATTCCCTTACCACTACTATAGCTTAATGTACAAGAATCATTTTGGAGTTTTCAGACTACTTAGATACAATTTTTTCTTTTTATGTTCCACATTCCTTATAGATACCTGCTCCCACAAAATGGTGACTTATATTATTAGAATCAAGGCATTAAAGACCGGAAAGAAAATTATTCCTTTGTAAAAGGAACAGGTGAGACCAGTACTGCTGCCAGAAAAACCTACCTCCCAGGAGGAAAATGCAGAGAGGTCAAGATGGGCTCCAGCATGGGTCAGGGCACTGCTTGTCTCTTTCTGCCAAGAACAATAATATGATGTTTATTAAGATTCAGGCAAACGGAACCATTAAAATTATTAGGTACTGGATGGCTTCCTTCTTATACATATATGTTAATGAGGATCAAGTTCCTATGGGAACAAGGCAAAAAAGCACATGATCCAGTCTTTCCCTCGAAATTTCAGAAAAACTCAAACTTATTCCCAGGAGTGAAAACATATAGATTGCTACCACAAAATCTGATATGTTTTTGGTTAGCAGGAACCACACAGCAATTGTGATGTAGCTGATGAAAATACTGGGCCCACGCAAATGGTCCCTGATAAACTCTGTCGCAGGGTACACAAAGAAAATCCAGCACACTTGGTAGGGAACACCTCATGGCCAGTGCTGATACCAAGGGACTGGCATCCAATGCTCTGAAGTGGAGGCTCAAGATTAAAATACAACAATTAGTTCTATTCTCTGGTTCATCCTCCACTTGCACCTCTAACACCAAGGAAGCTCACCGGCCATCCAGGAAAGGTTCCGTTATCCCACTTCTTCTCAAACTCAGTCTGAATCTTCCCAAAAAGTTCGTTCTGATCTTGAAGGGGTTTCACTCTATCTGTGTAATCCTGAAGGTACTCAAGCAGCATCTCTAGGTATCTACAGAGGAACATGCAATACAAAGAAAGCAAACAGGGTTTCTATCTTTGATATATTTCTATGCCCTGTAGACTATACTTAAAATTCTAATAATAATAGTTTTTGAAATAACACTCATTATTATATTATTATTATTATTATTATTTTTTTTTGGCAGTGCTGGGATTAAAACCAGGGCTTCATGCCTGCTAGACAAATGTACAACCACTGAGTTACACCCCTAGCCTACTTCTCAACTTTTGTGGGGAGGGGCACTGGGGATTCAACCCAGGAGTGCTTTATCACTAAACTACATCCCCGGTCCCTTTTATTTATTTTGGAGCAGGGTTTCTTGCAAAGGTGCTGAGGCTGGCCTCGAACTTACAATCTTCCCACCTCAGTCTCCCTGGTCATTAAATACAGGCAGGTGTTACCACACTTGGCCAAATACTTTTTTTCTTTTTGTGTACTAGGAACTAAACCCATGGCCTCATGCATGCTAGGCAAATGCTCTCCCACCACGCTATATCCCCTATATTTGTTGTAGATAAACAGTATGCCTTTATTTTATTTATTTTTATGAGGTGCTAAGGATCGAACCAGTGCCTCACCCATGCTTGACAAGCACTCTGCCACTGAGCTATGGCACTAGCCTGTCCACATACTTATTATGGTATCAGGAACTGAACCCAGAGTGCTTAGCCACATCCCTGCCCTTTTTTCTTTTTTAAATTATACATGGGCACAATATTTTTGTTTATTTATTTTTATGTGGTGCTGAGGTTTGAATCCAGTGCCTCACATATGTGAGGCAAGTGCTCTGTCACTGAGCAACAACCCCAGCCCATCCCTGGCCCTTTTTATATTTTAGTTTGAGACAGGGTCTTGCTGAGTTGCTGAGACTGGCTTTGAATTCATGATCCTCCTGCCTCAGCCTTCCGCACTGCTGGGATTACAGGTGTGCACCATTGCACCCAGCTCCCATGCTTATTTTTAAATGACCTTATAAATTTACTGTTTCCAACATGATTTTAATTCTCTTCTTCCCTACCTCCTTTCATCCTTATGACATAATGACAAGTACAAAGGTCTTAATTTAATCCACAAATGAAAGATTTTAGGTAAAAGAAAATGAAAAGAGATTATGAGTACAGGATCACTGATCAGGGGCATTATTAACACAAACATAAGCTTCCATTTAATATCACATCCAGGCACCTCACTTCAGCTGCAAGCTGAGAAAGTCTAATTTTTCCTATTAAACTCCAAAAACAGAGTTCCCTGAACAGGAGACTTCCTCCTATAATTAGAAAAAAAATAAAAACAGTATTGGCAACAAATAAACCCTTTTTCAAAGCAAGAGTATTCAAATGCTTTAAAACCATCATAGCCGGGCATGGTGGAGCAGGCCTATAATTCCAGCAATTGAGGAGGCTGAGGCAGGAGGATCACCAAGTTCAAAGCCAGTCTCAGCAATTTAGCAAAGCGCTAAGCAACTCAGTGAGACCCTGTCTCTAATAAAATACAAAATAGGGTTAGGAATGTGGCTCAGTGGTCAAGTGCCCTGAGTTCAATCACCAGTAACTGCCCCTACTCCAAAAAAAAATCCCAAGAAAACCATATCATTTGTAATACTTATTCTCATCCTCCAATAAACCTAGAAGTCATTCATGTGCACCTTTTAGGCAAAAAAACTCAGAACTTCCCTTAAACTTGACATTATCCTCTAATCCAATCTGGCACAGACCTGGAAGCTGTGAATGCCTACCTCTTATACTCTGCATTCTTCCTTTCTTTAGGAATGTCAAATAACTGGTCAAAGATGGACAGGTACGTGATATAATCCAGCTTCTGCAAAGAAGAAAGGCCAAAAGAATCAGTTAAGTGATTACATTAAGTTAAAATACAAGGGCTGGGGATGTGGCTCAAGCGGTAGCGCACTCGCCTGGCACGCGTGCGGCCCAGGTTCCATCCTCAGCACCACATACAAACAAAGATGTTGTGTCCGCCAAAAACTTAAAAATAAATAATTCTCTCTCTCTCTCTCTCAAAAAAAGTTACAATACAACCTCAAATAAGTGAGATCAAAATTGAGTATTCTTGGGGCTGAGGGGTACAGCTCAGAGGTAGAGTTAGAGTTGATTGTCTGGTATGTGCTGAGGGCCTGGGTTAGATTCCCAGCACTGCACAACAGCAACAATAAACCCACAAGTGGGTTTGCTAATAAAGTAACAAGGCCTAGCTCACTTTAGCTTTTCTTTCCTCCCATTTAATTCCTACAAGTGTTAATCCCACTGACTCATGTAGACTATCAGACATAAACAACTCTACAAAATAAAGATCGAGTCAATGAACAGTAAACGCGAAAAGAAACATTTGTCTAACATTGGTAAAAATCATGTTGCAACTCCCACACACTCAGCATTGTGTTCACCCGATACGGGAATCTGATCAGTACTTAAGGTTTAAAAATATATATTTTACAAAAATAAAAAATGCTTGTTGCATTAATAAACTAATATGAATAAAATAATACACTTATTGTATTTATAGTAGAATCTTGATTTTAATTTTCAATACCATTTCATTCCAAGAAAGTTTATCACCTCTTTTAATTTATTCAACAGTTACATAACCCAAGGAAAATGCTCTAATTGCTTCATGTCTAGATATTCAACATAACGTCCTGACTTGGTTCCTAGAATGACAACCTCTCCCCCTCCTCCCGGGCCTTACCTCAGATGCCTTCAGATTAATGTACTTGAGGTAACAGTCATGGAGGTCAAGGTACCGTCCATATCCCTCTTCATCTGTGAACTCTACCAGGTCTAAAAGGAATCAGGAATGTCAATGGTTTGAATACTTATAGACCCGCCTTTTCAAATGAACTGCCTGTCCCAAGTTCCATGAGGCACCGAACCCAAATGTCCTCCCTAAAAGTGAAAATTTCTTAGCTTTCCAAGCTGTTGAATTTGAATTTGGATAGGACAAAATGAACAAATTTGCACATGACCCATTTAGGATGCCAATCTAGCCCAGAAACCAGTAAAAGGAAAACCAGCATGAAAATCTTGTTATCAATTTTTCTGAGGTCCTGTGGGCAATCTGAGCTCTGTCATTAACCTGTACTTTTTCTAGTGATGAAGGAAAATGTTAAGCCTTACTTACTTTGTGCCTCTTCACTTGGATTCTCACGAGCTTTCAGGAGCTCCTCAAATTCCACAGACATAGGCACACAGATCTGAGGGAAAAGAGAAAAAAGCTCAGGTGGGTGTATCAATGTAAAAGTTTTAATGCCACAGAAAAGGGGATTACAGAAAGTTGGACTTTTTTTTTTTAATGGTGCTGGGGATTGAACTTAAGGCCTTGTGCACACAAGGCAAATGTTCTTACCACTGAGCTACAACCCAAGGCTAGAAAGTTGGACTTCTGACATTTGGTCTTCATTTTTCATACAAACCTATAACTATTCTTTAGCTAACTCACTGCCTTCCTCACTCCTTCTCTTTACCTGGGATTAAACCCATCCAGGGCATTACACATGCTAGGCGAGTGCTCTATCATTAAGCTACATCCTCTGCCCTTTTAAAATTTTATTTTGGGACAGGGTTTTGCTAACCTCAAACTTGCAATTCTCCTGCTTCAGCCTCCTGAGTAGCTAGGATTATAAGCTGTTCTACTTACCCAGCTTCTTTTTCTTTTTTGTATTGTTTGACTAAAAGCTGCTGAAGTGCTGCTACAGTGCAGTAGAGCATGCCTATAAACTGAGGAGGGAGGATGGTAAGTTTGAGGTCAGCCTGGGACTCTGTCTCAAAATAAAATACAAAGGAGTGGCTCAGTGGTAAAATGCTTGCCTAGCACATGTGAGGCACAAGTTCGATCCTCAGCACCAAATAAAAATAAATAAACAAAAATAATAGCAGATGGGGCTGGAGTTGTGGCTCAGAGGTAGAGCACTCACCTAGCATGGGTTCGATCCTCAGCACCAGATAAAACTAAAAAATAATTATTAAAAAATAATAGCAGAGGGAGTAAAAAAAAAAAAAGGCAGTACCACACACACAAAAAAAAACCTTGATATTATTGCTCTCTATATTTAAATATATATATTTGTATAAGCACATTCCTTCCTGCACAAAGATTTTAATTTTGTTTTTTACATAAGCAGACTTGCTTTTTTCACGTAATATTTCTTGGGCATCCTTTCAATCATTTATTTAATATTTATTCCTCATCACCTTTCAACTGTGGCTGAAATAAGGTGAACACATTGAATGGTACTCAAGTCTTCTCCCTGGTTAGCAGATCATACTCTGTCCTCCAAAAAGGGTTCCATATGTGTGAGAATATATACCTCCATACTACTTCAATAAATAGCTTCTCCTTTCTGGTATTTTTATGTCTTCCTTTTTCCATCTGTTCCTACCCTATCTTCTGACTCTCGTATTTTTCCTCTTCTATTTCCTGCCAGCCTCTCACATACGTTCCACACTCTACACTTCTACTTACCCATTATCTACCTTTACCCCATGACCTGATTTCATTCCCATTACCCCAATAAAACAGCAATCCTGGCAGCAACCAATCAACAACAGTTGACACCATAACTGCCTTTCTAATAGGATCTTTGTAATGAAAGTCCTCCTAAGCTCTCTTCTATTAACTACTTTAAGTGTGCTCTATGGCACACAGAAAAGCTCTGACAGTCTCCTTTCATATTCTTTCTCTCCCAGAATGCTGTGATTAATAACTTCAACCATCAAGTCCATGTGATGATTCCCCAAATGTAAATCAAATATCTCACATGAGCCCTAGTCACCTAATTCAAACTGCTCACAAGACACCTGTAACTAGATATAACACTACTTAAAAATCTATACACGTAAAAACCTGTTGTCTACTCTTTCTTCCTTATTTTTATTAAGAGAACAAACAACTTTCCAGTTCTACAGGCATAAAGGTTCAAAGTAATCTCTGTCACAGTCTTTTCCACTCTTCCCTGAGTCGAGTCTTACTCCCACTTCTCTCACAATTCCTTTGGTCAGCAATGCTTAGTGGGTTCCAGACAACTGAATCATAATCCCTACTCCCTATAATCCTAAGAATACAGCAGGACAGACATTCATTCTCACAAAATATGATAGGTTCATAAAGAATAATCAATTTGAGGGCTGGGATTGTGGCTCAGCGGTAGAGTGCTCGCCTAGCACATGTGAGGCCCTGGGTTTGATCTTCAACACCAAATAAAAATAAATAAATAAAATAAAATAAAGATATTGTGTCCAACTAAAAAATAAATACATTAAAAAAAAGGATCAATTTGAAGGAGGCAGACTAGGAAGATATTTCATGAAATATTCATGAAATATCTTCCTCTGGGCTGAATCTTAAAAAGTATGGATGAACTTTGAAAGTGAGTACAATATCTCTGTGTTAGTTGGATCTTCTAAATAGAAGATGTCAAGATAGTTTGGAGCACAAACAATTTATTAGGAGTGAGAGAGTCCTTGTGAAAAATTAGGAGGAAATAGGACTTGGTAGAGACAGACTAGATACAGATTTGACAAAATCTTGATCAACCCAATGAGAAGCTCTGTAGCAAAGATCACTCAACAAAGGAGCCTCAAAATGGACAGAAACAGGCAGGCCCTAGGGTCCCTACCATGCTCTCACTGGCTGAGGGCTGCCGAGGATGAGTGTGCTTTGGTTTAAAAGTTGAGGGGGATCCTAAAAAAAACAGTAATAGAGTGTCAGCTAATTAAGCTCCTTGCAGCTAAATGGCAAGTTCTTTCTTGAAGGGACATTTGAACCGCACACTTTCATTTTCCTAATATTGTTTCTTTAGTATTCTCTTTGGGTAGGTTGGGAGAAAATACTTTCTCAGGTCATACCTCATTTGGGTGCTTCCGATGGAATTCTTTTATTTGCTTGAGTCTGTTATAGAATTCAGCAAACTCATTGGGTCCTGAAATAGCATTAAGCTCCTCCTTTCGTAATCTGCAATTTCAAGAAAAATCCAAAGAGCATACAAAATCAGTCTCTTAACTAGGGATCCTCAAAAGCATTAACTCCTGGACCATCTATGACTGTTACTTACCCATCTTTATCATCATACAAATCCCTCAGGTTCCCACTGACCTCCATATATCTCTGAAAGATAATTGCAAACCATCAGAATGAAACAATTTGTGCAACCGTAGAGCTAAGCAACCAACAAGGGCTGTTTGGTCAAACCCCAGGAAAACCTCATGAGATATGGCCTTAAAAGTTCCTGCGCTTTCTAACAACTTTAAAAAGACAATTTGGTTCCTGGTTAGTATTTTGGTTCCAGGTTGATATGATTAAGTGATATGACTTGAAGAGTGGAAGAGAGCACCAATTTTTACATACAACTAACTTTTGTGTATGAGATTCATCCCCCTTTGACCCAACAGACATTCCCACCTAAGACCCTCAAAGATAAAATGGTGGTCCAAGAGATTCAAAAAGCTTGAATGAGGAATACATAAGCTAAATAAAATATCACATAGCTTCCTTTGGAGTCAAAGAATATTAACTCAAGATGGTACAGGTGTGTGGGAGGCCATCCTTGCATGTGATTTGAGTTACCTCCCTGGCTGGGTGAGAGGCACTTAGGCACATTTTGTGTCCAGAGCTTTCCCCACCCTTCTCAGGTCCAAAGGCTTGTCCATGTGGAGGCGTGTCTGACCACTACCCCAAAGACCCAATCGTCGCCCCTGACCTTGGGATGCTGCCCCTCTTAATCTTCATTGGATGGGATTCTCCCCAGAATTTTTTGTTCCCCAATAAAAGTCCACTCCCTGGCGTGTTCTCTCTCTCTCTCGCTAGCCTCTTCAGTAATCCTCACTACCACAATAGGTAGCTAGAGCCTGGAGCTAGGAGGAGCCGTCCTGGAGCTGGTTTAAAGGTAATTAGAGTCTTGTCTCTTTAATTCAAAACTCCCTAGTGGTTTCTCACATCTTGAACCTTCATTTATGAAGCCAGAGCGGGTGGTGGGCTAAACAGGTGATAGTCACTTCTCCAAAACTTTTGGGACTAGATTTGTTTCCAAATTTAGAATAAGAAAGATATGTTGCTGGGGGATGTGATAGAAGGCATTCCTAACATGTTTAAGGCCCTGGGTTTGGGCTTTACTATTGAGCTACATCCCAAGCTTTTTTATTTTGAGACATGGTCTCACTAAGTTGCTCAGGGCCTCCCTAAATTGCCAAGGCTGGTCTTGAACTTGGGATCCTCCTGCCTCAGTCTCCTGAGTTGCTGGGATTATAGGTGTATGCCACTGCACCAAAGCTGAGCATATATTAACAATTCTGCACTTCAAGCCCTAGCACAAGCACATCCACCAGCGCACATACACACACACAAAACTGCAATAACACTTATGTGTTATTTAATTAAATGGGATAAAGACCACAAAAAGCCTCCTATTGATTCAGACCAGGTTTCAATGCCAAAGGAGATCTGATAAAGAGTTATCACCAAATGAACTGTCTCCTCCTCCCCCAAAAAAGCATTCCTTGGTTTTCAGAGCATTTTGGATTTGGGAACATATATAAGGGTCTGGAGTCCTATAATTTAATTATCTCCTAAAAATCATAAGCTCTGCATAGGCCTTTCATTATTTTCTAAATAGATATCAAATATACTTAAAAGCAAAAAGTATAATATGACAAGCCTCCATTTAACCATCAACCAGCCTTAATAATTATTGATACTTTTAAAAAATAAGAAATTGCATTATCAGCAGGAAAAAGCAGTTTAGAAGCCAAAAATACTATTAAAACAGTATCCTGGGAGGAAAAACACAAGTATACAGCATTCCTCTGTTTTTGAGAAGAGATGGTTATCTTCTGCACCAGAGTCACGGATACCTAAAAACTACTCTTTATACCCCCACAGGATTCGACGTGCTGTAAAGATCATCTTCTCGAGCGAGGAAAAATGAATGAGTTCCCCACGTAGAGAAGTGAGGAAAGGACGCGGCAGCACCCTCACATTCAGCAGCCTATGGACAACTTAAGCAGACAACCCGCGACTGGCCAACTCGGTTACCTTTGACCAGGGCTCACGCTGAGACCCCGCAGCTCACCTGCCCTCTTTTCCTGCCCACCCCGACCCAAGAGGAAGCAGACAGCGGGACACTCACATCTTGCATGGCCCGGGTGCGGTGGTCGGAGTTGATCTGGTCCCGGAGCTGAAGAAAGGTAAACGGTGACACAGGGCCGTTAGTTTGAGTTCTGGAGTAGGAAAGGCCGCTCGAGCGGCTTACTCGCTCAGGTGTTAGCGGCTGCAGCACAGGAGCCTCCAGGCTGCTGGGCCCCAGGAAGACGGGACCCCGGTGGGAGCGGGGAGGCAGCTCCGGCAGCAGGCGGGGAGAGTGCGGGGAGGATCTGGGGCCCAAGGGAGGGCTCAGAGGTTAAACACGGCCCAGCCCCTGACTAGGCCCCACTCACCGTGGACTTCTTAGTGAGCATCTCTTTGGCCATGACGTCCATGAGCCGTTCTTTCTCTTCATGGTATCGCCGCTGCTGCTCCAGAATTGTCTCCATCTTCCCCTCGCCGAGACACCTCAACTCCGACCACCAACACGGCCGGAAGCAGTTCCTGCCGCCTTACGCGCTTGCGTCCCCACGCTGTGCATCCGACTACACCAAAGTTCCGCGAATCCCGGAAGTGCCTCGGGGACTCGAAAAATGAACACCAGGAGGAAATTCAGTCTGGGATGCCGAGATGGCAACAGTGCCACCTGCTGGTCAGTGAGGTGAAGGCGTGATGCCCAGAGGTTCGCAGGTGCCTCTAGGGGGCATAGAAAATCTAAGAACCTGAGGATAAGCGGGCTCTGGTTTTCCTGTGGTTTGCTGGGGCCAGCTGGGCAGTCAGGGACTGAGAAATTGAAGAGTAGGGATGGGAGTTGGGAAACTAGAACTTGAATCTTTTTGCTTTCAGTGTGACCTCTGATAGCGTTTTTCTCTTCTGTGGACCTCTGTGTCTTCGTCAGTAAAATGGGGATGATGGTGTTTTTTTTAACAAAATTCATATGTGGAAACAACTTCCTAGTCATTAGCAGGGGACTCATTAAATAAAATATGGCATATCCTGGCAGCGAAACGCTGTAGAGCCTTTTAAAATGAAGGCAAGCCGGGCTCAAACACTTGTAACCCAACTACTTGGGAGATTTAGAAGGATTGTATGTTCAAGGCCAACCTCAGCGACGTAGTGAGGCCTTTTCTCAAAATAAAGAAATTAAAAGGGCTGAGGAGGTAGCTCAGTGGTAGGGCACCCTGGGTTCAACCCCCAATATGGATTTTTAAAAATCCATTCTGAGAAATGAAAACATATATCCATATGTTCATAACATTACTCCACAAAATTGATGCAATCTGATTCCACCAGCTGGTGAATGGATAAACATAATGTGGTACTACATACAATGGGCTATTGTTCAGCAATAAAGGAATGCTACAAAGATGAGCCATAAAAATATCATTCTACATAAAGAAGATAAACTCAAAAATCACACAGTGTATGTACAGATGAAATGTACACAACAGCAAATCCATGGAAGCCGAGGGTAGATGAGTGGTTGCTATGACTGGAGTTAAGATTGGAAGTGACTACAAAGGGACCCAATAACACCTTTTTTGGGGTGATGACGTTCTAAAATTGAATTGTGTTGATAGTTGTGTAGTTCTATTAAATTTGCTAAGATTAATTGAATCAAACACTACAAATGGATGAATCTTAAGCTGGGTGTGGTGGTGCACACTTTTAATCCAGCAACTCTGGAAGCTGAGGCAGAAGGATCTCAAGTTCAAGGCCAGCCTCCACAACTTAGCCAGACACCTTATCTCACAACGAAAATTGAAAAGGACTGAAGATGTAGCTCAGTGGTAGAGCACCCCTGGGTTCTATCCCCACTGCATTAGAAAAAGAAAAAAAAAAAGGATGAATTTTATGGTAAGTAAATTATACTTTAATTATATGTGGGATCTGGTATGGGAAGGATCTGGTATGTAAATTATACTTGAGGATCTGGTATGGGAAGGAAATTTTCTTTGTATCCACCCAAAGCACAGCATCAAGTTTTTTTTTTTTTTCTTTAACATATGCATGTTACTTCCTCAATTTAAAAATAAATTGGGTTTGACATGTTAAATCTTAAAAATGTTTATAGTGACATAAATGAAAGAATATTGTAGTTGTACATCTAACTCTTAAATAGGTGGATCACCTAAGCAATGCCATTCTCTATCACTTGGCCTCAGATCTGAATCTGTCCTTCCCCTAAATGCTTTTCTATCCTCACTCCATCAAGTCAATCACCAAGTTCTGTCTGCCTCCTTCTTGCTACCTACCTCATGACCTCCCACTACCCACTGTCCTAATGTCCTAACAGACTTGCTCATATTACCCTCCCTAATCTGTTATTCATGCTGCAGCCAGAGTGATCTTCTCTAAAACTCTGACCCTCTCACTGCTTAAACATTTCCACTGGCTGCTTTATCCGCAGGGTGAGGTCTGTTTAGCTTGGCATCTGGCTTTTCACGACCTGGGCTCAGCCTGCCATTTTATTCTCTTGGCACTTCCTCCAAGTGCAATTACTTGCTGCTTCCCCAAAGCACCAGATGTTTTCAGGCCTCCAGGCCTTTCACCAGCTGTTTTCTATGCTTGGACTGCTCTTCCTTAACAAGTATTTATTGAACATGTAGTAAGTGCCGGGAGCTGAGAAGGAGGGGTGAGCAAGGCAGGCGTGAGCTCAGTCCTCAGGCCAGTGGGAACAGAGAAACAAACAAAAAAAGTAAAGACTACAATTATTAATTACCAACAACAGGCGTTGGGCATTCATAAAGATTTGTTGAACTGACTCTAACTGGGCCCGGGAGACAGTGTAAAGCGGACTAGAATCCCGGCTCTCTGGGGACTACCTGTGTGACTTTAGACGAGTCACTCTGGGAACCATCTCCACCTCTGTGGGATGCACGTAGTAACTAACGTCCGCCGCTTTACACTACATTTAAACAATCACGCAGTTTCCGCGGGCCGGCCCGGCCTCTCCCCGCAGGGTCCAGGGTCTCCACCCCGGGAGGCTTCAGGCTAGACCTGGGCGCGTACCTGCCCCTGCCTCGGGCAGCCAGACTGCCCAACTCCGCCAGCCACCGCAGGGGGCGCGGGGACGCTGGGATTGGAGCTGGGGCGTCCAGACGCCAGGCGAGCGGAGCAGCGCCCCGCCCCATCTCCCCACTTCGGGGGACAGCCCCTGTCGCTCATTCCCGCCTCCTCCCTTGAATCACGGGGGTGGGGGGGGCAAGGGGCGGGGCCATGACCCATTCATACTGGGAATCGGATCCAGATGTTCCCGTGGCGCGTGCAGCTGCATCCTTGCCTTTTTTGGCAAAAAACGTGCGGCCGCGAGCGTTCCCGGGCCGCCCCCGCTAATCCTTGGGAAGAGGGGGAAGGGGGTTGAGGGTCTGGGCCAGACTGGGGACCAGGACCTGGTGCTCGTATTGCAGGATTTATGCAGGATGAGGGGGCGATGTGTACCAAACTAAGAAATCCCACTGCCGTCTGGGATCTCCCCGAATCCCTCCCTTCTTCACACAAAAAACCCACAGCAGCAGCAGCAGCAGCAGCAGCAGCGGGGGAGGAGGCAGGTCAGAGAGGGGCGGTAGCTGAGCGGGGATCCCCTTCCTGGGGAGACTTCCCTCTCCATGGCCTGCCCCCAGACATCCCCCTCAAGAAGTCTAAAAGAGCTTTAGTCTGCAAAGGAAACTTCCTTTACCCTCTTATTCCCAGACAAACACACTGAGGCCTGTGCTTCCACACACTGCTTTATTGCAGAATCTGGAAGGGGGGTGAGCCAAATCCCCCTCTGCCCATCTCTGGGCAAAATGAGCTAAAATAAAATGGGAACATGCTTGGTGGACACGGGCTGGGAAGTACTCAGTACCTTAAGACCCTCTAACCAGTTATCTGATCTGCCCGGATAGCGCGAGCCCTAGGGAAAGGGGTAGGATGGAGGTGGGGTCAGCCCCAGCAGTCTACTTTTGAGGACTTCTTCGGCACCTGTAGGAGACCTAAGATCTATGTAGAGAAGTCTTGATTTATGGAGGCCTAGGCCCAGAGTCCAGGTTTGGAAGGCTGGAGTCTAAAGCCCTGGTTTGGGAAAGTATCTTGGTCTGGGAACCCTGATTTTAGGGGAGAGGGCCCAGTTCTGGACTCCAAATTTGGAAAGCGGGCTTGAATCACAGAGGCTCCATAAGAGCCCAGATTCGTGGGCCTGGGTCAGGGAGTACCAGTAAGGAGACTGAATCCTGGAGCCCAGGGGAAACCCCATTCTGGGGGGGGCTGGGTCTTAAGTGGTTCAGAAAAGGAGCCAAAGTCCTGGAGCCCTGGTTCGGGAAAGCCCAGGCCCAGGAGGCTTGGCTTAGGGCCCTGCCTGGCTGCAGCCTTGACACAGAACTTGGTCTCCATCCGGCACGAAGCCTTGGCCCACCAGGGAAGTGGAGCAGCGGGCACAGGAGAAGCAGCTGTGGTGCCAGTGTCGGTCTTCAAAGGACACATACTTGCCTCCACCGAGTCCTGCAGGGAGGCTGGAGGTTAGCTCTGCTGATCTGGGGCAGTCCTGCCCCTCAGCCTCACCCAGTACCACATCCACGCCCTTGCCTGCACTCTACCCACCTGTCCCACCGGTGATGGGGCGTTTGCAGCTGCTGCACTTAGGTGCAAAGAGTTCTCCAAAACAGGTCACACAGTAGGGATCATCATCCCGAGAGGTGAACTGCTGCCCGGCCAGGGGTGTCTGGCACCCAGTGCAGACCAAGCATTCTCGATGCCAGGGCTGATCACGGTAAGTCACTCCACCCTGGGTCAGCGTCTGTGGGGGCAGCATCCTTCAGCGGGGGGGAGTGGGAATTCCCACCCCACAACAGGTCTTACCCCTAACCCACTGGCACAGCCCCCACCTTGCTGCAACGGGCACAGCGAGGAGCAAACTTGTTCTCATAGCAGGGCACGCAGTAGTGAGCATCCTTATCGGGCACAAAGGAACGAGATCCCAGTGGCTGCTCACAGCCGCTGCACAGGAAACAGTGCTCATGCCACGTCTGGCCTCCATACTCCAGCTTCCGGGACCCTGTAGGGAACAGGAGTCCCACTCAGAGGCTATATTTCAAGCTCCTGAGGTTCAGTCTCTGCTCCACAACCCGTTTGCCCCCACCAGAATGTACTCACTGCTCCCATGGCTTGAGTAGGGTGGTGTCCAGGAACATGCAGCAAAACTTCCACTATGTATACTGTATATTGCACATGCTAACCTCTCTCCAAACACTGGACATGATAGTTCAGTATGTACTAGGCCTCCAAAACTGGTCAAAAGTGTTTTGGTGCCAGGAGCAGTGGTGCATGCTTATAATCCCAATGCTCAGGAGGCTGAGGCATGAGGACTGCCAAGTTCAAGGTCAGCCTCAGCAACTTAGTGAGCCTCTTAGCAGCTCAGCAAGACTCTGTCTCAAAATAAAAACGACTAGGGATGTAGCTCAGTGTTAAAGCACCCTTGGGCTCAATCTCCAGCACCAATAAATAAATAAATAATAGATAGATAGCTAAGTCCTTATAAGTTCTAGGCATGCCATTCTCCACACATGCTGAGTCATCACACAGCTATTAAGCATGCAGGTCCCCATACATGTTAATCCTTGCACACACTAAGCCCCGATGCACCAGGCATGATAGTCTCACACATCCTTGGCTCCTATATGTACCAAACATGCAGGTCTTCATACATGCTAAACCCCCAGATGTGTATTAAGCATGTCAGTCTGTTCGAACATGATACTACCCCAGGTGTAAGGCCTAATGGTCCAGCCCACACTGAACCCTTAGGAAGGTACCAATCTGGTCAGTTTCTGCACCTGCCAAGTTTTTATGTGCAGCCACAGAGATGCTGATCCCTGTGCACAGTAGGCTTCAGGCACAGAGTGTTCAGGCACAAGAGATCCTGCACACACTAAATTTCTAGGAATGAGCCGTGTGTGCAGGTCTCTACCAATGTCAAGTCTGTGTGTGTGTATCAGACAGGATGTACCGATGGGGACATACCAGGCATGACAGTTTCCCCACAGGCAGAGCACTGTGAAGAGAAGGCACTGCAGTAACAGTCATTGCAG